GACGTTTTAGGTCAATGACAGAGAAACTTGCATAGAAAGGGCCCCTCTCTCAGGGATGAACAAACTTAGAATGTTCAAGCCTGACTGTTTTAGGCTGCTGCAATGGGTTTAGAAAGTCATTCCAAATAATAGTGGATATTGCATATAAACTCATCCACCTGTCTATCAAAAGGCTGGCAATAATTTCATAAAGCAAGGCTAACTCCCACATCTGTATGCTCCACATTTTTTCCTATGTCAACGACCCTCAGCAATGTTTAGAGCTGTTCTTGTTAAAACCATTCTAAGTGAGCAGTGATGTAAGTCAAAGTAATGTGGATAATCTCACAGGGTTAGAAGATCCTACATTATCAACTACTGTTTAATTAGTACTGAACAGGCATGATGACACTGGATCTCAATCAACTGGAGATGAGAAAGCAGCCAGAAAAAGAGGACATGGCACATATGAGATGCAGGGCTGCACACATGAAGAAAAGTGCAGAGGCAGCCTTGGGACAGGGAAGCAGACAAATGGAGTAAGTAGACATAACTGAGGTAAATTCTGCTGGCAGAAGGAGCAGGTTGTGCAGTGACCAGACAAGAAAGAAAAGCCAGAGCTGTAACTCTAACTTAATCTGGGGAACATGCCAAAGAATGCTATCGCTGACATTTTTAAGACCCCTGGACCTGTTCTGTACACAGTGGTGAGCAGAAAACCCTTCAAAGGATGGTAAGAAAGCAGGAGGAATTCCCAAGCAGATCCTGATAGTGCTACAAGATGATCACTGATATGTAATGCATATGGCAGACAGCCATGGGCAGCACCTGACCATGACATTTTCAGCAAGTTTTTGAAGAAAAGGTAGCTCTTTTTTTTCCCCTCAAGATTAGAATTCAACTGCAGTAACTGTTTACCAAAAACAGCTATTCCATATTTCATGGTCTCTACACTTCACACTAGGAAAGTGATGCGGAGTTAAAGAATGTCCCAGACATCAAGGAAGCATCTTGCTCTCCACAGAAAGCCCATTCAGCTGATCAGACACCCTAACTGTTCATTCTTTAGAATGCTTTTCAAAAGTTTAATGCTAAGAAATTCTTATCTTGCCTGTAGTTAGTATATTCTCCAGATCTCCCAGTTATTTCCCATTTTCTGGACAATCCTTCCAGCTTGGACTCCAACCCAGACAAAAGTAACACCCCACCTAAAGAGCAGCTGTTGGACTGGAAGCCTGGAGATGACCACGAGTTCGATTTTTTCATTCAAATATCCCCAGCTCTCCATACTTAATAATCCCATATTCTTGAGAAAGTTCTGCTGAAGAGTCACCTGAAACTGTCATCCTCAGCAAACTGATCAAATTTACATCCAAAAATTTTGAGCAAAGCTGGGAATAGATGTCTGTCATGGATATGACAGATTTGTCCTGGGCCAGCATATTCTTACCATAATCAGCACATCAGTCAACAAGGAATTGCAGGTTTCACTAATTCCAAAAACAGAGAATAAAACTTGTCGTTCAAGTATTTGACATGGATGTCCATCAGTTATTTGTAAGTCTACAGAACTACTCCAAGTAGGTAAGTAAAGCAAGTTCAACCAAGAGAAGTTAAATTAGCAGTGCAAACTGGTGTTCGTCTCTGTGCAGAGGTGCTAACACACGGCTCAAAGTTCAATACTCAGAGCATTACAATTCAGAGATGCTGCCAGACAAGTACTTGTGACAAATGACTTAATGAATTCTCTTTCTGCAATCACACTACTAAAGCTCAAAACCAGAATGAGGCAAGATTTAGGAAGATGCAACTGATAGGATTTTACTTGCATTATAACTGATTTTGTACTGTGTCATCTTCAAATTCTCAAATTTGTTAGGTCTCCAATCTAGCAAAGGACATAAGCATGTGCTTTAGCTTTAAAATATTCAGACCCTTGGAAGGCTGGTGGACCACCCACAAATATCAGTGTGTCCCTTCCTTCAGTATTTTACTAGCCTGGGACACAGAATGTCCAAGAGTATTTTGAGCATAGGCAGGACATACTGAAACCAAGTGTGCACAGTCTGTTTTTTTTGCTTACATAATTTATTTATATAGTAACTTTTCAAAATGCTTCTACACAACAACAGTGTTCTTTAAAGAAAAGAAAAATACAACCGTTAGACAATGTCATTATCTAAAAGATAATCAGCAGAAAGACTGAGAAGGACAAAAGGTTTATCTTTCTTTTTCACTCATTAAATAAAATGAGCTTTCAAATTGGCTGTTTCCCTTTCACATTCAGTTTGCTGAAACTAATTTTCACCTCTAGATCGTTAAACCCCTCCAGGATCTTTTAAAATTCTGTCTCTGACAGCACATATTCATAACACCTATTCAGTGCTAAAAGTCATCAGCTTCTCAATTGACAGGGAGATCTTAATCAACAACACTTTAAGTTCATGGACATCAACAAAACCCCTTAAAAAATAAGATATTTTCATTATTACATAAATTTAAGTTATTCTGCACTCATTTAGCTATTATTAATTATAGCCTTATTAATAAGAAATAGCCTTATTTTTCTAGAGATTGTACAGGTTCATAAATGAGCAATGCCTGACCCAAATATTGAACACAAGTATTTTCTTTTCATAAATCTATACAGGAGTAGAACAAAATAAACATTTAATAAATACATTTAACAGTAAATGTTTTCAGGATTTTGTATGTGGAGAATAGGAATTAAGAGAGGAAAAATCACTGACTGAACTAACTTTTCTGTCTTTTCAGTTACCTTAAGAAGCAAATGTAATTTTTTCTCATGTACTATGCTACGTACTTGCTATGTACTTCATAACTATTCACAGCATTGTCCATTATGAAAGACTAAAGGAACAAAATAAACACACAGAAAAAGTGCTTGTAAACTAAAACAAACAGTCGAAACTGAATTCCTTGCTTCCACAAAGCCTGGCAATGAAACCTGTCAGAAGCTGGACAGTCAAATTTTGCAAAGGAAATTAAAGCATATTACAAACGAGACAGAAAGAAAAACACAAAAATGTATTATCTAACTCTGTCTCAAAATTAAATTAGTATTTTGCCTCAGAACAGAAGGCAAAGGAGGATAGATGAGCAACAGCTTTAGAAACAGAAATTACCACATATGAGCTGGAGTTATGAACAGTCAAGTCCAGCAGATCAGATGATGCTAATTCTAAAACACCAAGAGTTTACCAAGCATGTCATGCCACAGAAACCCAGTATCTTTCCTCATGGCATTCTGTAAGGAGCACAAGAACTTGAAGTCCCAGCAGAGTAGTCAGGGGAATGAAAACCAAACCTTGCAGAAGTGAGGACCTTCACTATCTGTTCATTCCATGTAAATACATCTGCAAGGAAAGGTGTAGGAGTGAAGAAGACAACTGTTGTAGGTAAAAATGTAATTTGGGAACACCAGACCAAATAAGCATGACCTACAAATCCTACAAATCTGGAATACCTTCTCTGTAGTGCAATGGTATGTACTATGATAATAGATCATACTTGGTAATTCTATAACCATGATTCAAAAGGAAAGTTGCCTCTGCTAGAATAAAATGTGTTATGGTCTAGGTAGAAGCTGTTTTCCAGTCACATGATGTAACTTAACTATAACCAGGTATTTCATCAGGAGTAATCTTCTCAGGATAGAATGCTAAAAATGGTCCTTTTGGTTACTGAGTTAAGTGAACAAAATAATTTCAAGCTTTTAATTAAAGATTAATGTGTCAGAAGCAGGTAAATGAGGAAGAGACATTTCCTAGGAGTACAAGGCACAGACTCAGAGCTGCAGGCGAACACAGTTGTGCTTAAGTTGCCTTACACCCTTCCCAATAGGAATGCAACAGGGGCTTCTACTGAAAAGTGAAATTAACAAAAAACTTTTAATTTTTGTATAAATAATTAATTTCTGCAGTCTTGGGGATGAAAGAATTCAATATATTCAATGTATTTCTATGCATTGCTTATGACAAAGTAGGAGAGATGGTGACTGCTAAAGCAGAGGGGAAATGGAACTGGTTACACAAGTTTTACGTCCAAGGGAATCCCCAGGTGACTGTTCAGACAAGCTTTCCATTTCCTCTTCCTGCTACAAATGGCATGTCAATTGTCTCTGACAGCAGTATGGATAAAAAGGTGAAAGGAGAGAGAACTATCACACTAGACAATGAGAAAACATTAATCTTGATTGTACATAATCCTTGGCTTAGCTAAGTGCAAGATTTCTAATGAACAGCAGAGCTTTTCTTTCAGAAGATTCTTGATCCCTACTCTCCACTCTTTATTAATAATAAACTATCAGGGGTTTGGAGCTTTAAGTTGCTATTTTTCCCTAGTGAAAACATTAACACCGATTCAAGTTAGGGAAATGGGTCAGCTAATGTTTGTCCTTGAAAAGTAGCTTTGCAGTGCTCCTTCTATTGTGAAATAGCAATGACAAGACTATTGGCAGTAATTACAGATTTAAAGTACCCCACTTTGGAAATGTCCAAATTGAAGCACCCTAAAAAAGACCTGATTCTCAGGAGAGACAGCATTTAAAAACCTGCATCCCCTAAGGGGTGTCTCAAGCTTTGTATTCAAGATGTCTAGCATATATATTTTAATATATTTTGCCCTGAATGTCAAATGAAACACACACAAAGAAGTAGTATGATAATGAAAACTCATTTTATTCAGCCACTTGAGGGGCCTTCTCCATCTCATTGAGCAATGTTAAAGTTTCTACAAAGCTGTAGGGTGATAATCACTGGAACACAATTAGTCTTGGCTGTCACAAAAGCAAGAACAATGTTTTCTGGGTATTTACGTTTTCATTGAATTTATCATTTAAGTAAAATTTTCATTTAAGTGAAATAATTGTAATGAAAACACTCTGGCCAGGCCAGAAGAGCTATAATAAAGATTGATATTAACAGTAACTAAGTCAAAATATGTAGGTCTGACACGCATCTGTCAGATTCAGGATGCAATACAAGAGATAATATACTTACTGAAACTTTCCACAAGGTCAAGGGCAACCTGAGTAGCCACATCCATTCCAGAGTTGATGTAGGACTGGCAGTTTTTCAGAGAAGAAAGAGCAGAATCAATTGCATTGAACGAGACTCTTGGACCACCTGACATCTTGAAATTGTTACTCTAGAAATAACAGGGAGAACAAATTAAAAGCAGTTTCCACACAAAGAATTTGGGAGAGAAAACATAAGTTCTAATAAAGCTAAACATAAAGAAGTGTTAACAGAATCGCTGAAGCATCAAGCAGTTTTCACACAAAGAATTTGGGAGAGAAAACATAAGTTCTAATAGATAGCTAAACATAAAGAAGTGTCAACAGAATCGCTGAAGCATTAGGGAGCAGAGATGTAAACTTAGCTCCCAAGATGTCAGTAATTTCAGTGAAAGTGAAATTCATGACAGGTTTTCAATTCACCTCCTATTCAGTATTAAGCAAAACTACACCACTAAAAATGCTACCAGGCATTTTCCTCTGCTCATTTCTACCACTAACCTCAGTGAAGTTCAAACTCCACCATTATGTCTGCTTGAAAACTACTGCTCTATTTCAGATCCAAAAGAAGATCCAAAAAAGCCCACATGCCCAGACACTTGTCTGGGTTATCTAGGCATATAATCAATTAGCCTAGGAAGAAATATGGTTTCTCACATTCAATTGGAAAAAATAATCTAACAAAGGGTCGCTCTACTATGAATACTTAGTAGAGTATTCTCTACTAAGAATAAAACATCTAGCATCATTTTTAAATAAAATTTTAAAATTTTTTTTAATCATTTTAAAATGCTGCCTACTTCTGCCAAAGATGCCACAAACTTTTGGTACCCATCTTCCATTAGCACAAAATAAAGTCACCCAGGTACCATTGTTTATCTTCTTTACTACCCTCTGGCTCTGCAATACACACCCACAGCGTACACCCTTGTGGGGATTAGCTGCTCTGTCATTAGAACCTTTAAGTATTTTTGCTTATGCTGTGCCTATCCACACTGCTTACATGCATTGGTTTCTTCTCAAAAATCCCCAATTTCTGCTCTTCCTTCTTCATGATTTGCCATAACCCACTAAGAGATGTAGCCACTGTGAGAAGCATGAATCTGGTGTACAGAATTTGATACTTCAAGTTGGAGGTTAGAAAAATTCTGCTTCAGGTTTAGCTACACCAAAAAATAAAAAAAATAAAAAAAAAAAAGGAAAAAAAAAAGAAAAATAGACACAGCAAAGCAGAACTCTTAGACAGACAGAAATATTGCATTCGTCTATGTAAAGAATAACTAGTATGTTTAAGGACTATATTGAAATGCCATTGGGGAATTAGCAGAATCCACAAGCAAATCTGGGGTATACCAGAAGGGGAAGAGTTGTTCTGTCAATAACAGCCTTTAATAGGCTATAATCCAACAGTAATCTGGAAAACATGTATAGAAAGTGCAGTGCTTTTCCCAAGCTTTGTATACCTAAGGCTGTATCTCTCTCTACTGCTTTCCCTGAAACTCCAGAACTACACCTTGTGCTCCCCCTAACCTGAACATTGCCACATTCCTCACAAGTACCATGCAGACTATGAGACCTGAATGCCTGCTGTCTCCTGTTTATTTCCTATCATTTTCCTTTTTTTCCATTCATAAAATGTGCTTGGCCAGTCAATACTATCTTTTAGTACATCATCTTTAGGTCATGTGCTTCCAGCAACATTTTAACAACAGTTCAACCTCACCACAAATTGAACTTCTTAATTACATGCAAATTTGTCTTCCTCTCTATCCCCTTCTAAAGGTTCACCTTTCCACAGATACAGGAGGCTTCAGCTACAGCTCTTGTTATGTCAGCTCATGCTCCCCTGACAGAAGACTGTGACTGCTATCATTAAAGATCTTCAGAGGCTGTCAAACTGACAAGGGAAAAGTTCCTTATAGAACTTCTTGAAAGTAAAGACAAAGGATGCTCTTGAATATTTAATAACAAATTCCTCAATTACTATATGATTTAACTTTTTTTAAAGGTACTTGTTTGCCATCTTAGCAAGACTGTTTGTAGAGAACCTCTGTGATCCAAACATACACTACTGAATAGTCACATAAAATCACATTAAGCAGCTTTATCTTTCTGAGCCCATTTTGTGTATGAAAGTTAACAAAGAGAGCCTAATTCCCCTCTTGAACTTGGTAAATCTCACTGAGAAAGCTTGCTGTTCTTTTGGAAATTTCAAAGATACACACTGAAAGAAGGAATCTGAAAAAAAAACAAACCAACAATAGTGAAAAGTTTAAAAAGTTCCTTCATTTTCATGAGCAAACTACACAGGAGCAGAAGTTACTGGCATTAAATCATATTGTTGCAGTGGTAGGTTCATCTCAATCTGTCTTTTGGAAAGTAACTTCTTTTGGATGAATCTTCCTTTCTTTTTTTTTTAATAAAAGATTATTTTTTTAACAAACTGGTTACAATCCTGTAATGCCCCTGCTGACCCCTTAAGGGTTCAGAGGAAGGCAGTGGGATATACCCTGGGCAGTGCATGGGAAAACAACCAAATTACCAGGAGACTCAATAACAAATTTTATTTGAAAACTTTAGAACATTCAAGTAGAATAAGGTACTTGGCAAATTTTAAAACATCCAGACAAAATAAAGCACTTCTCAAACTTAAGCTCAGCAAAATTTAACTTCTCCAGACACAAGGAGACACTGGAAGTTTTCAGTCTGACGTACAAAATATTTTGAGAAGAAGAGAAAGAAAGAGTAAGAAAACCAGAGAAAGAAAGAAAAAGAAAATGGGGAAAGTTAGATGGCCAGCATCCCAGAATCCATCATTGTCTCAGCAGCTTCTAAACCCCTAGCAGTGGAGCATGTTTGGCCCACGTGTTGCTTTCCTTTTATCTTTTACTCTCTACCCCCTCAGGGCTTACAGGTCCTGTTCCCCCATCACTTCCCAGCTGGCTCTTTCGAGCCACTCAGCTGTTCCTCAGGTCTGCTATGGATAACAAGGCCAAGATTTCACTCTTGAACTGTCTAAGTGAATTCTTCAACTTCAGCTTGGAGCTGTCCATTCTGCCTTCCAAGGGAGGGGCACATTCCTCTCTGGAACTGGTTTCACTGCAGTGTTTCTACCACTCTTTTCTGCCAGGAGGGTCTTCCGTGGGGTCATCCAAACACTTCCCATGTGGAACCCCCAGGCCCCTCACTCCTGGAAAACACAACCAGCAAACTCCGTGCTGATGGGAGACTACTGAGGACATATTTTTTTCCTTACAGCAAGTGATGAAATGGGACCATTTCATATCCAGAGAAGATAAAAAATAAAAAAGCCTACAGTTTCTATTCTGTTCGCTATTTTAAACATTTGAGGAAATTACCTAAACTTTCTATGCCTCAATATCTCAAACTATGAAGCAGGGGTAAGAAAGACGTATTATTTGCTTCTGTAACAGCAGCTCTACAGGTGTCAAGCGCTCTCTGAGCACCAGGATCGGTGTCCAGCCCCAGGCACGCTCGGTGATGAGGGGCCACAGGAGGAGGATCCTCCCTGTTCGGGCTGGGGGAGCAGCGCCGGCCGGGCAGGGCGCTCGGCGCTCCCGGGGCCTCTCGCCGCCTCACCCGGCGCAGGGCAGGCCGGGCAGTCCGCACGGAGACACGGCCCCGCCGCCGCTCCCGACCCCTGGGAGCGCTGCCCTCGCCCGCGGAGGGGACGGGGCCGGCGGGGACAGCCACCCTGGCCAGCGGCCGCTGCTCACCTCGTCCCCGCAGCTCGAGAGCGCAGCTGTCCCGCGGGCGGCCCCACGCCGCCCTCCCGGCGGTACTGGCAGGAGGGCGGTAGCGCCGGGCAGCGGGGCGGGCGGAACCGCCTCATCAACCGGCGCCGTCATGTGATGGGAGGCCTCGGCTACGTCGTAGGGAGCGCCGCCTCCTCCCTGCCATCCTTCTTACCCTCCAGTGCATCCTTGTGCGCCCGCAGCCGCCGCCGTCCCTGCCCGCAGGCGCTGCCGGGGCAGGGTGAGCACACCGGGCGGGGCGGGAGCCGCTGAGGGAGCGGGGCCGCCCGGCTGCAGACTGTGAGTGCGGCGGTGGCGGAGCGGGACGGGGCCGGGTTCGGAGCCCGTCCGGCCGCTGTGGGTCTGGGGCCCGCTGTGCCCCTGTGCAGCAGAGCTTGAGGCGGCGCTGGGGACCTGGGAGGGCTCCGGGCGCTCGTTCTGGGTCAGAACTGTCTTGGGACAGCTCTCTGTCATCCGAAATGTATCGCAGTGGTTCGGAAAGCGTTTGGTGAAAAGTCAAGCCTGGTCATAACTTGCTGTAAATGTTTCTGAAGCACAGACGCTTATTTTTGGTGCTGCACGTCGTGTCCTGCAGGAAACGTGTGAATAAAACTGAGCATGAAACGCAACCATGGGATGGAAGCTCGTCCTTCAGCAATAAATAAAGGAACGGAGCTGTGTCTTTTCCATTTGCCATGAAAGTTTTCCTTATTGCTAAACCCATTATGATCACTTTGGTTGTATTTCTAAAGGAGCTCTTTAAAACACATTTTGTGAAGTAGTTTTGCTTTCCTTGGGCCTTATCTCCTCTCCTGGTCATAATCGCTTCGTTCCATTCTTCAATAGTGTCCTTCAGCTGTTCCCCAAAAGATCACACTTCCCCTGCCTGCTCACACAGGTCGCTTCTCGAACTAAATGTACATGCTGAAAATTAGTTCTGTGCATTTCTTTGATTTTACAAAGTTGTGGATAATTTAGATTTCATAATTTGAAAGATTGGAGAGTATGCTTAAATATCTACAAATTAAACTATCAAAACCATTAATATAAACCACTGTGGATGTGTGTGGGTTTGTTTTTACAGGTTATTAATGGCACAGCTAGTTTCTTCCTCTGGCTTTCTGCTTCCAGTAACCTAAAGAGTAAGGATCAGAATCAGACTGCAGGACTTCTGCTGCTCTGTCACATCCAGCTCCACAATGGTGGATTTTCTGGCTGAAAATAATCTCTGTGGTCAGGCAATTCTTCGGATTGTTTCCTGTGGAAATGCCATCATTGCAGAACTTCTGAGGCTTTCCGAATTTATTCCTGGTGTTTTCAGGCTAAAGGACAAGGCTGATCAACAGAAGTATGGAGATATCATATTTGATTTCAGTTATTTCAAGGTAAATCCTTTTATTATTAAACTTCTCCTTAAAATTGCTGTCCCACATGAGGATGTTTTGGGCTGTGAAACAGCCATTCCTGACTATTGTGTTTATTACTACTGCATCTTCCAAAATGTTTGATGAGTCATCTGGCCTGTGAATTTTGATAGATACCAGTTATGTAAAATGTGAGTATTGGATTCAGGGGAGGTAGTAGTAGTAGTAGTAGTAGTAGAATTCCTGCAGGACCACTAAATTAAACTTCCTCCAGCAGATTCTGAGCCTGCATGGTCAGTTGTTTTCCTTCAGAGCAGTGGCATGGGCAGTATGCCCATCTTTCTTCTGTTAATCTGTAGCTTATTCTTTGCAGCCATGAAAACTGCTTCCTGCTTTCCTGTCTGACAGTGCTATGATTGTTCTGCCTCTGGACTTGTCACATGTGCTGAATAAATAAATAAATAAGTCAAGGAGAATTGTCCATGGAAAGCCCTTATTTCTCTTTCAGAATTAAGCTTGCAGGACTAAGTTCCCTCTGTCATTTTCCAGCATGACTAAGAAGGAACAACAGAGACTATCTAATCTGACTTTATTTGGACTGTACAATACAAGAAATGATAATAATGAAGCAAGGGAGGCACTTCTAAAATTTAATTCAATTTCATTGTAGTAGAAGTTGTAAAATTCAGGCACTGTGAGGCTTAGATACTGAAAATCCAGAGCACAAATGATTTCACAGTTACCTTTAGATCTAAGTGCTTGGTAGAAGTCTTTTTTATAAACAAATTACTTGAAAATTTAAAAGCAGACAGCTGTAATTGGTGAGAAATACAGTAATCCTTAAAGCCTCAGTATTTTTGAATGTTGAGAAAGCATAACAATGTGCTGGTTTTCATCATTAAAACCAAATAAATCCATAAGAGTCAAACTTATAAAGCAGGGATTAAAGAATTCACAAATATTTTTACTGCAAGTGCACCCCTTCTGTATACATGATTCTTAGAATTACTTAATGAGGAAAGATTTGAGATTTGAAAAGTTGAGACTATTTACTTTGTCCATTTGAACTTCAGTGGCAATTTGGTGCACGCTTTTATCCTTTGTTTTATGTAGATATTTTGCACAGAAAGAGAAGCAGAAGAGTATTTTTTAAAACTCAGATTGTCAGCTGGGTATTTTGAATTAAATTTCAATAATACTTTCAATTAAACTTTAGCATTATTCTCATGTAGTTCGTGATGGTAAGACTGCATAGTGCCTTTGAGAAATATGACAGTTGTAAAGGGTTAGAAAAGTTGTACTATTGCTTTAAGGAAGTCAGGTTCTTCATCCCAGTTCTTTTTTCTCCATGATTGTTAATGACAAAGTTTCTGCATTAATTCAGGAGACGAGTGCTGAGCTAGATGTAGAGTCTGTGGAAAAAACATGTCTAATATTTTCAAGCAGTTTGAATGTATGAGAAGGTACTAAGCTTTGTGAGCCCTCAATGTTATGGTTTCAATCTGAGAAATCAACAAGAAGAAATGTGTAAAGGAAAAAATTCCATCAGAGAGATAGCTGGCACTACAGAAAGCATCCAGTGCTTTCAAATGGTTTGGGGCTTTACTGAAAGCATTGGCTATTCTTTTCCATTCATTACATTGGATAAATCATATTTAAAGTCATTGCAGATTGTAACAATGTGTAAAGCTCGTCTTTATAGAATCAATATTTAACCATAAACTAGGTTAGAAAACTACACATCCTTGTTTTGGTAAGAAATGGTAACTCTGGTTTGCACACAGGGGTAGTTGTACATGGTTTGTGTCCTACTGTAGAGAAGTGGAGATCAAAGTCAAGTATTGTCTCTAAAGGTGAGTTTCTGTTTTTCAGGGGCCTGAGATATGTGAAGGCAAACTGGAAGCCAAGCCTGAGTTACTGGATTTAGATGAAGAATTTCGTGAGAACAACATTGAAATTTTGACAAGATTTTATTTAGCTTTTCAGAGTGTACACAAATACATTGTAGATTTAAACAGGTATGGTATCTTAAATACGTACAGGTTTTCAAAGACCAGATTACTGTTTTGTCTTATTGATGAGAAGCTTTTTCCTTAGAGACACAATATACTCCTTATTGAAGCATATTCATGTGTACCAGCAAACCTGGGTTGCTGGAGTGAACACTATCTTTTACTCCAGCAGTTCCCTGCCAGGTTAATATATGACTTGAAAACATTTAACCTCTCTACCTCATTTCCTCAGCTGTAAATTTGAGTTAGTTTTTCTTTATCATAGAGATTGTCTTGAAGATTTTTTTTTTTAATAGAAGGAGAATCCATATTATTAAGCTAATTTTTTTTTCTTGCAAAACAGAATATCAGATAGTTTGGAGTTTTTTTAACTTTCATTGGCATTATTTTCTTGAAGTTAATTTTTCAGTGAAGTTGCCATATTCTCAAGTTTGCTACTCTGATGTGTAAAAAACAAAATTAAAACTTCATTAAATGGTCTAAGTAAAAGTTACTGAGAATCTTAAACATGAGAGTTGGTTTTACTATTGATGTTATATGAAAATATCAAATGTTTGATATTACTTATTAAGTAGTGTGGCTGGAAAATCCTTTAATAGGAGTAAATCTTCTCTTAATTCAGGTGAACATATGCTACTTCTAGCTCTACCTTCCAAATTTCAATTGAGATCAAGTTATGGTATTTCCAGGAGGTACACTTAGGTAACTTGAAAATATGACAGTTTTACTGCATAATTGCATGGCAGCCTTCCCAGCTGTTATCACCCATGACAAGATTATAAGGATGAGCTATAAGCTGCCAGGTATCCTCCAGTGTCTTTCACATACACCATCAGAATATGGAAGGAAACTTCTGCCAGCTGGTTGGCGCTAGCTAGGGGTTCCAGTCTCTCATTTTTTAGGAGAGCTCTCTTTTTCTTTGCTGTTTCTTTTAGGGAAGTGTTCTGATGCATCTGTTGGCTTTCAGAGAAAATGTCACTGATTGAGTTCTAGTTTGAGAGCAAAATAGTCAATGACCAAAGTTTTTGTCATGATTCCTAGATACTTAGATGACCTCAATGAAGGAATTTACATTCAGCAGACATTAGAAACCGTCCTCCTTAATGAAGATGGAAAACAGCTTCTAGTAAGTATTGACTAGTTTTGTAATAGTAGAAAATTAACCCACTCAGTAAGTGCCAGCCTAGACAAAGATTTTTAGGTTTACCAAATGCATGGAAGTGCTGTGACTCACTTCAAGGAGGACAAAGAGCAAAAATCCTCAGCCTGCCATTTTTCATGTTACATTAACTACGTAGTTGACATTGACTTAGTTTGCCAATACATGTTTTTCTTTAAGTGTTGCTGCAAAGTCATGTTCATGTTATATTCTTTCTTCATTCTTTCTCTTTCCAAACAGTGTGAAGCTTTGTATTTATATGGAGTCATGCTCCTGGTCATTGACCAGAAGATTGAAGGAGAAGTCAGAGAAAGAATGTTGGTTTCCTACTACAGATACAGGTCGTGTATATAGGTGTACAGAAGCACTCAAGGCTGAGATGTGTAACCTGCAGTATATTCAGTAACCTAGGTCACTGAATTAAGATAAATAGAAATATTGACACCTTTCAACTGACTTTGGACAGATAATTCAGCAGAGCTGTCTGAATATCGGTAGAACTCCTTGCTTTTAGCTTTTAGCTGCAAGGTCAGCTGCAAAATGAGCAACAGTTTTTTCATTCTGTTACAACAGACATTTGAAGTCCACAAATAAACTTTCAGCTAAAGCTTTTAGGCTGCAATTGCCAGTAATGAAAATGTCATGGATTC